TAGATTTCCTTGTGTACCTTTATTTTTTCTGATAGAATTTGGTAAGGTTTTTTTTCTGTATATATGATAGAAGAAAACATTAAAGGTTATGGAACAGTACTTCCACTGTTCATTTTTAGAGTCCATATAGAAGGAATAGGTGGAAAAAATGGAGTTCAACATCACGGCAAACAACTATATCAACAAATTATACTATTCTACAGAGAGGCACGACGAACGAGGCAGGGAGTAGGCTGAGGATAGGATAGCAAAGGGACAAACTGTGTGGTGCCCCTTTCCCTTTTGGCCAAAATACGTGCCGAAACATTACTAAAATAGGGAATATCTACTTATACATGTCTACATTACTGATCAGCAAAAGTTTGAGATCACCTTCGTCAGTGTATCTCACAAATAACGGACATTTTTGTATCACATGAATAATCCATCATGAAGAAATGATCATATTTATTTAAGTACACGCAGTTCTGTTTGCTTCCGCCATCGGGTTCTTGCACCTGGTCGTCGTTATCGCCCCAGAACGGCGTCCCCATCTTGACCACCGTTCCGTCCGTCCATCTAAAGATACCTTCTTCTTCAAAGTCTGTGGCGCCGATCCAGTAATCGTGGTTGGCCAGTCCTTTTGAAGATATACGTATAAAATGAGACGTTTATGCCATTTTTTGACAACCCATTTATAAAAAAGATATTCATGGACACGCAACGACTGTCGACGCAAAGTGACAGGAGTCAGTACCATTGTCTAAGATGAACTTGACGAGATAGTACATGAAGTTTGCGTCATCGAGCTTGACCATGTCGGCGCCGACGTTAAAGCACTCGTTGTACATCTCGTGCCACGTGGCAGACTGCGTGCGAAACTGGACGCAGTGGTCGTAAATATTGTGGAATCCGAGAGGGCATTCTGTGGGAAAATTCTTGGCACTAAGCAACATATGGGCGAAGATAAGCCTTTTACTGTAAGAGAATATGCGTTACAAGCAATTTATATTTATTCATTATTTATTATCATTGTTATTGTTATTATCATCATTATTATTACCATGATTATTGTCATTATTAGTTACTTGCTATTAGTGTTTAACATATTCCTGTAGAAATTCACGATTCATACTCGTCCAAAGCAACATGCATATTGATGAGCAAATGTAAGATCGACATTGAATTTCCGTGAAGAAATGTCCACACTTACGTGCTGTATGTAAGTACTCACGTATGGCCTTATGAGATGAGGGTGCAGATCCTGTCAAGAAAACGAGTCAAGATAAGTCGACCAGCGGTGCACAAAGCAATCAAAAATAGGAGACAATAGAAGCAAGAATGATGCTAATCTGCTCAGATAGTCGTGAGAATAGTAGTTGCAATGGCATAACTGCTGACACGGAAGCAAAAGGCCTGAGACATTAGGAGACTTACCCGTCAGCGGGAGCAGGGAAGGCAGCAGGAGAACAAGGAACCTCATGGCTGCTTTTCTGCCTCCACGGGGCAATGCTGTGCCTTTTATACTCCAGTGCGTCCCTGTGCACGTGGAAAATTGCCAAGAACTGGTCTGGGTAGCAACACGTGCAGGCAAGGTGACAGGTGGCGGGAATACACACTTCTTTAACAATAAATAGGTTACAGGGATAAGATGGAAAGATATAGTTATGAGTGTTCAAATGTATATATATATGTGTGTGTGTGTATGTGTGGTGTACCCGTCCATTTTTGTGTACACACGTATATATATGTATGTGTATATGTATGTTTGTATGAAAGTATGTTTATATATATTTGTATGAATGCATGTGTATACATACATATGTATATATATACACACAGACACCACGCACTAACACATATATTGCATATAAATATATGCGTGTGCACACTAAAATGCACATATACACCCACATATATATACATATGAATACCCCCCCACACACATGTATGTATACGTATATATATATATATAACGAATGAATATGTCTTAGTACTATCATATCCTTTTGTAATCCCGTGGCCTCTGGAAAAATACTTTCCTTTTAGTCCTTTGCTGCTAATTATATAACATGGTGGAAAAAAAGAATTGAAGGTCAACATCATGACAAACAACTATATCAACAAATTATACTGTTCTACAGAGAGGCATGTCGGACGAGGCAGGGAGTAGGCTGAGGATAGGATAGCTAAGGGAAAAGCTGCGTGGTGCCCCTTTCCCTTTTGGCCAAAGTACGTGCCCAAGGTAAGAAACCCGGATGCTGAGGTGTGTGAACTATTAGGCCTGTCCCAATATTAATATCCTATTGTGTCAGCCTTTTACTGTAAGCGAATATGCGCCACAAGCAAATTTCTTTTATATATCATTACTTATTATTGTTATTATTATTATTATTATTATTATTATCATTATTATCATTTTCATCATTATTATTGTAAGGTGGCCTCCCACTTTCCGACATCTCTTGCTCATCTCGCCGCCAGCCTCCCGTACTCTCGCGGGCCCTGGCATCTCGCAGCCCGGTCAACGCTTCCTGTTGTCCCCCTCTCGGTCTATATGTACATACGTTCACTTATTTCTGTTTTATTGTTCCACTTTACTTTGGTTCCTATATGTCACTTCTGTTTGAGTTTGCCCTTTGACCCCGTCCTCTCGTCTGCGATTCCTTTATATGCAAATTATTTCTCGCTTCTTCTGTGAGCTTCACGGTTACTTGTATTATTTTAAATTATCTTCTAACTCTTTATCTTAATTTCTTGTCACTTTTTTCTGTCTACGGAAGCTTATTCTCATTTTAGGAGGAATCTGTTTTTACGTCATATTTTATCCACTGTACTTTCTGTCTACTTCACCTTAAGTGTGTATTTTTCTATGTTTTATCTTGCTATGAAGCTCATTTTATTTATGATTGAAGTGTCTTTCTTAATAATCTTTGAACAAACTTTTTATTTTACGAACGATGTTTGACGTGGGTTGTGACGTCACGAACTTTATAGATATAAGCCGCGTTGAGCGGGAAATAGATTCATTTTCCTCGAAACAACGACGTTTTACTCTCCTCCTGGCTGATTTTTTCCTTGCTGAACGGAAGGTGGAAAACTCGGCACGTCTGGGCGTCACATCACAAGGAAAAAATACAAGTTAAGTTCTGTTTTCCTGGCTATTTCCTTTGTGCATAGGAGCTGGACGTGATTCTTTGTTTTAAATATTGAATATAAACTAGTTTTATAGATTCTACATACTATACTAAGTTTGTGAATATTGCTGGATATAACTAACCTTTCTCCATTGTTTTATTTGATTTAAATAATTTATTGAACATTATCCTCATACTATAAGTGCCGAGGTGTATATACGGGGAGTCAGTTGGTTTGCATTCACGCTACCACTCCTTGGGAATCAACTTGATAATGAACCCGTCACAAACAAATTAATATTCCCCACTACATTATCATTATTAGTTACTTGCTATTAGTGTTTAACATATTCCTGTAGAAAGTCACGATTCATACTCGTCCAATTCCCCACTACATTATCATTATTAGTTACTTGCTATTAGTGTTTAACATATTCCTGTAGAAAGTCACGATTCATACTCGTCCAATTCCCCAATACATTATCATTATTAGTTACTTGCTATTAGTGTTTAACATATTCCTGTAGAAAGTCACGATTCATACTCGTCGAATTCCCCAATACATTATCATTATTAGTTACTTGCTATTAGTGTTTAACATATTCCTGTAGAAAGTCACGATTCATACTCGTCCAATTCCCCAATACATTATCATTATTAGTTACTTGCTATTAGTGTTTAACATATTCCTGTAGAAAGTCACGATTCATACTCGTCCAATTCCCCACTACATTATCATTATTAGTTACTTGCTATTAGTGTTTAACATATTCCTGTAGAAAGTCACGATTCATACTCGTCCAATTCCCCACTACATTATCATTATTAGTTACTTGCTATTAGTGTTTAACATATTCCTGTAGAAAGTCACGATTCATACTCGTCCAATTCCCCACTACATTATCATTATTAGTTACTTGCTATTAGTGTTTAACATATTCCTGTAGAAAGTCACGATTCATACTCGTCCAATTCCCTACTACATTATCATTATTAGTTACTTGCTATTAGTGTTTAACATATTCCTGTAGAAAGTCACGATTCATACTCGTCCAATTCCCCACTACATTATCATTATTAGTTACTTGCTATTAGTGTTTAACATATTCCTGTAGAAAGTCACGATTCATACTCGTCCAAAGCAACATGCATATTGATGAGCAAAGTAGTACTCACGTATCCTTATGAGATGAGGGTACGGATCCTGTCAAGAAAACGAATCAAAATAAGTCGACCAACAGTGCACAAAGCAATCATAAATAGAAAATAATAGAACCAAGAAAGATGCTAATCTGCTCAAACAGTCGTGAGAATAGTAGTTGCAATGGTATAACTGCAGACACGGAAGCAAAAGGCCTGAGGCATTAGGAGACTTACCCGTCAGCGGGAGCAGGGAAGGCAGCAGGAGAACAAGGAACCTCATGGCTGCTTTTCTGCCTCCACGGGGCAATGCTGTGCCTTTTATGCTCCAGTGCGTTCCGGTGCACGTGAAAAAAAGGAAATTGATTTGAGTAACACCAGGAACAGGAAGTGTGACAGGTGGCGGGAATACACACTTCTTTCACACATTTTTTAGACTACAGTGACAAGATGGAAATAAATATCTAATCTCGGTTTTTAACGTAGGACAAATATAAACATGTACCCAAACACACATATATATTACATAATATATATGTGTATGAGTTTTCAAATGTATAATATATATAGGTGGGTGTACCCGTCCATTTCTGTGTGCACACACGCATATATATGTTTCTATGTATGTATGTATGTGTATATGTCTATGAATGTATGTGTCTGTATGAATGTATGTGTATACATATATATAAGTATATATATATACACACCACGCACTCATACACACACGCATATATATATATACATACACACCACGCACTCATACACACACGCATATATATATGCATACACATAAATGCATATGCACACAGAAATGTACACGTACACCCACATATATATACATATGAATACTCCCACTCACACGCATATACACATACATATATATGGCACGATCGAATATGTTTTAGTACTATCATATAATTTTGTAATCCCGTGGTCTCTGGAAAAATACGTTCCTTTTAGTCCTTCGCTGCTAATTATATAACAGTAATATTATCCTAAAAAATAAAGTCCCTTACAGGCAACGTAAAACATTAGTCCAAAATATACAGTTTGCTAGTAACCCTTTCTGTTATGATAAGACCTGCAGTCGAATGTATGCTTTGTCACAAGGAAGAGGTCTGGCGGTGTTTTAACAAATTAACTATAAATCAGCCAAGAGATTGGTATGAATATATACTGTATAGTAGGTAAAGGAAGCGAAGATGTATAACATATTTATACAGCTTTTTCTTGGGGGAAGGAAAGGCCGGTAGGCAAGCGAAGCGAAGAAAATTTTAGAAAAAAAACTACTCTAGGGGAATTTAAGGCTATAACCGGAGCTATAAATGTGTAATATAGTAAAATGTGGCCCTTGAGGTGGCAAACGGTTTTGGTAGGAAATCCCCCCCCCCCAACCTTCTCTCAAATGACGCCCCTGGTTTGTCATCTCAACTGGGAGGGACCACAAGCTTCTTGTCTCATCCCACGGTTGTCCATTCATAGTACATATTCATTGTATATCCCATTATATCTATATCATCAAAGAACTAAGAGTTAATCATGGCCATGCCATAATATAAATAATAGGCAATGATGATAAAGAACGTCCGTGATGATTTGAGAAATACTGATTTAGAACATTAATGAAAAATATTTTATGACTTTGAATACGCAAGTTTAGCAGTCAATGAATTCTGTGAACCCAAATTCAAATAAAAATGTAATTCTAAGCCAAGATCAAAGTTCAGTTACCAGGCATACAATCGGTTATATAAATATATACATATTTACACACACACACACGTATATATATATATATATATATATATATATATATATATATATATATATATATATATAGTGTGTGTGTAGTTGAGGAATAAACACGATTTCAGTGTTACCTTCTTGTTTAAAATTTTGTCTTTATAAAAAGAAAAAAAAACTTTCGGGGTTCCTACGTATTAGTGGGATGGAATATATCTTCACTAAATTATTGAATTATGTTCTGCTCAAACTCTGGATTTTTTTTCTTTTACACACACTGACATACATACCTACACACACACACATATATGTACATATATACACACCGCTCCGCATCGGCTGAAGAAAAGAGGGTAAGAGAAAAATGAGCTTGATAGATTTCCTTGTGTACCTTTATTTTTTTCTGATAGAATTTGGTATGGCTTTTTTCTGTATATATGATAGAAGAAAACTTTAAAGGTTATGGAACAGTAGTTCCACTGTTCATTTTTAGAATCCATACAGAAGGAATAAGTGGGGAAAAAATTGAAAGTCAGCATCACGACAAACAACTATGTGAAAAATTATACTATTGTATAGGAAGGCACGCCGGACGAGGCAGGGAGCAGGCTGAGGATAGAATAGCTAAGGGAAAAGCTGCGTGGTGCCCCTTTCCCTTTTGGCCAAAGTACGTGCCGAAGGTAAGAAATCCGGATGTTGAGGTGTGTGAACTATCAGGTCTGTCCCAATATTAATATCCTATTGTGTCAGTTTTTCGCCACCAATGCCGAAGTTAGTTTTCAAGTTCGAGGAACTTTATTCAGGGAGTAATCAAATTAATATCGATGCAGACTCTGAGCATAACTGTTGCCAAAACAATAAATATCTACTTCATATGTCTATATTACTGATCGGCATAATTTTACCAAATTATCTCACAGATAACGGACAGTTTTGTATCACATGAATAATCTATCATGAAGAAATGATCAGTTTTATCCAAGTGTACGCAGTTCTGGCTGGTTCCGCCATCGGGTTCTTGCACCTGGTCTGAATGGTCGCCCCAGAACGGCGTCCCCATCTTGACCGCCGTTCCGTCCGTCCACTTGAAGACGCCTTCTTGCTGGAGGTCTGTGGCGCCGATCCAGTAATGGTGGTCGTCCAGTCCTTTTTAAAGAGATACGTATAAAGTGAGACGTTTGCGCCATTTTTGACAACCCAATTATAAAAAGATATGGACACGCAACGACTGTCGACGCAGAGTGACAGGAGCCACGTATTACCATAGTCAAAGATGAACTTGACGAGGTAGTACATGAAGTTTGCGTCATCGAGCTTGACCATATTGGCGCCGACGTTAAAGCATTCGTTGTACATCTCTTGCCACGTGGCAGACTGCGTGCGGAACTGGACGCAGTGGTCGTAAATGTTGTGGAACCCGAGAGGGCATTCTGTGGAAAAAATCTTGGCACTAATCGACATATGGGCGAAGGCAAGCCTTTTACTATAAGCGAATATGCGCCACAAGCAATCTTTATTTATATATCATCAATTATTATTGTTATTATTATCATCATCATCATTATTATCATTATTAGTTACTTGCTATTAGTGTTTAACATATTCCTGTAGACATTCACGATTCATACTCGTCCAAAGCAACATGCATATTGATGAGCAATAAATTTCAGTGAAGAAATGTCTACACTTACGTGCTGTATGTAAATACTCACGTATGGCCTTATGAGATGAGGGTGCAGATCCTGTCAAGAAAACGAGTTAAAAAAAGTCGACCAACAGTGCACAAAACAATCAAAAATAGGAGACAATAGAACCAAGAAAGATGCTAATCTCAAATAGTCGTGGAAATAGTAGTTACAATGGCATAACTGCAGACACGGAAGCAAAAGGCCTGAGGCATTAGGAGACTTACCCGTCAGCGGGAGCAGGGAAGGCAGCAGGAGAACAAGGAACCTCATGGCTGCTTTTCTGCCTCCACGGGGCAATGCTGTGCCTTTTATGCTCCAGTGCGTCCCTGTGCATGTGGAAAATTGTCAAGTAATGAATGCGTACACACACATACACATAGGCATACACACACACACATATATATATACACACAATACAATGTATAATACAATGTACGCGCCGTCAACTATGTATACCACCTCTAGGGACCGTACGTTTGTACGCCACTCAATAAATAAGTATCGCGCTACAGGCCGTTCCGTTGCAATTGCGCGCTTTGTAGCGCTACGAAGTGCCCAACGGAACGCAGGGCAGACGAATCGGCAATGGCCAGTGAGTGGATATTTCACGCTTGTTTAGCAGTGTTACCAGATCGAGCAGTCCCTAGCGGCCATCGACTACCCCCGCGCAGGTGTAGTGAACGGCTTCGACACATCTCGTCTCACTCCAGGAGGTATACACCATTTCGAACATATCTCTCACCTCCAACTCTCCCACAGGCGAAATATTACCACCGAACGCAGAATAAGACGAACTTGGGGTGGCAACAAACTCCTGGCGGAATCGCGGCGTGCCGACGTTTTGCCCTACACCATCGTTTATCAGTTCGGAAGCTGCGATTTCACGTTGCCAGGAACTGCCTCACACCTCCTCTTACTATGGCAACGTGAACTTCGGTCGCCATCCCTCCACCGAAGTCTAGGGCGTGAACGCTTATCCTGCCAGTGAGGAGGATGCTTAAGACGGTGTTGCCACGGACCGCTGTTTAATTATTTGTATTGTTTTTAAATAAAGGTATATTGTATTTGTATGTAGATAGCACCAGTGTCTCTCAATCGTATAACCACTTGATAAATAGAATTCCATTTATTTTTACATTTTAAGTTTATTTATTATCTTTTAAATTCGTCGTTTATTCCTTTTAATTCAAATTTTACATTTAACTTTCATTTGCTATATCTACTTTTATCCACGGTTTTACGATGGTTCTTTTATGAAAAGTTCATTTATTTATTCATTTTACGATTATGATTATTTTACCAATTTTATTATACAAAATATATTTATATTCTTTATTTTATCTTAGTTTTAACGTTAATTGCACTAACTTAAGAATCCAAGAAAGAACGCCCAGGTTCTCGCGGATAAAAGCCAATGTAGGGAAGTACAAAGGCAGACAAGGGGGAACCGGGAATTGGTCTTGCGAATGGGCCTCCCGAAAAGTCAGTGGATGAAACGGTTGTGAAGAGTGATACAATATAGGCCGTGAGAGACCCTCAGTTTTACTCAGACGGACTTAAAGGCTGGTATCAACGTTTGCAGAAGTGTATTGTCCTTAATGGAGCATATGTTGAAAAATAAACATCATAAATGAAAACATTTTTTCATACTGTCCACTTTCCAAAATCCTTTTTGAATTCCAATCGTATTAATGTTACAGTATTGCTAATGGCATCATAAATTGAAGACAGATCCAAGAATTATGATAATCTGCTAAAATATTCGCGAGAATGATAGCTGTAAAGGCATAAATGCAGACACAGAAGCAAAACGGTTGAGACGTTATGAGACTCCTACCGGTCAGGGAAGGCAGCAGGAGAGCAAGAAACCTTATGGCGCGCTGCTGCTCTGCCCCTACAAACCTTTTATGCTCCACCATGAGAAAAATTGCCAAGCACTAGTCTGGGTAGCAACACTTGCAGGCAAGGTGACAGGTGGCAGGAATACATACTCCTATTTTTTTTAGATTACAGTGACAAGATGGAGAGAAATGTCTAATCTCGGTTTTGACGTAGGGCTAATATAAACATAACCACACACATACGGCTATATCTATATATGTATATACATAAGTATTTATATATACATATTGTATTGTGAATAAGAAAAAAGTATGATAATAAATAAATAAATAGATTAAAATAAATGTGTCAATTTTGTTTGGAGGTGATAGCAAACTTTTTGCTCTATCGATGCATATTTACGGTTTACATTACGTTTTTTGAGTTGTGCAAAAAGAACTTCAAATTCACAGCCTTGGATTTTGTGAAATAATAAACTATATTTTCTTTCTTTATATATATATGTTTAGTCAGAATGTATATTCTTGAATATATAGTCTACAAAATTTGTGAGAGCAGGAGCGTGGGGACGCTTTTGGCGCGAGATTTGTATATGCCGGATCAGGCGAGAGATTTTTGAAGTCATTGGCTCTTTTTTACTTTGTGGAAATTGGCATTCGTATAGGAGGTATGTAAAGATACTGTTTACATCATGCACTCAATTTTGTAGTTAAGGGACACATGATTCACGTATATGTGTGTGCCCCGTTACCGGTAATAATAAATGCTATAGATTAATGTATTAATCTTTTACAGTTTCCCTGGCGATTGCATTCCATGAGTTGACCAAGTGCAGGTCGATTATGGATAGTGCGGTCATGTTGTGAGTCTCTCTTTGTTTGATTTATTGTTGTCGTTGAACTATGAACATTTTATTTTTATTATTTCATTATCTTTCTTGAACTCTGTACATTTTATAAACAAGATATATGTCATGAAGAGCTATATATATTTTGTATACTTTATTTGCATTATTTCATAGATTGATTTTGCATGGCATCGTGCCTCTGCCTGTATTTGATGGTCTTTTGCAATGTATAGAAATGTCATGAAATTTATATTGATAGGTCGAATCAATAAAGAGATACAACACTGCACAGAAATCTGATTTTCTCGAGTAGCGTTACAATTAGACAACTTGCAACTTAAGAAGGACAGGATGGCGGACAAAAGGAGATTCAATAGGAAGGTAAAAATCTTCAGGGAAGCTCATGAAAAGGGGGCATCAGTCGAAGCATTACAGCCCATCTCCCAGAAGGTTTGTGAAAGTTTCTAATTAGCGAATGTAGCCAGTGAGGTTTTGATTTGTTTACTTAAGAATTATGAGTGTTGTGATGAACATGAATAATATATAATTGAACTTGAAAAGGTAAAAAATGAACTTTATAACATCCTAGTAACTGGCACAGCAAAAGTTATGCGGACGCTAACCGTTTCACCTTGTACGACCCAATGGGTTTTATGATGCCTTTTCCTTTAAAATCCAAGTTATTGGTGCGTGAAATCGTTATAGAAAGAGATGGAAACAGACCTAGAGTATGGGATGAACCTATAGGTGAAGTGATGTATAAGAAAGCAAAATTGTTGTTTAAGGAGATGTTTCTGTTAGAGAAAGTGGATTTCAGGAAATGTGAAACCATCCATGGCTGTGGATGAGCCACAATTAGTTATTTTTTCTGACGGAATTACTAAAGCAAATGGAGCTGTTGCATATGTCAGATGGGAAATTGCCTAATGGTTAGTTAGGTCACACTTACTGTACACAAAGAATAGAAATGCAGCAACCAGGCAGATATTGTGTGGAGCTGTCATAACTAGTTGATTAAGATATACTATTGAACAGGTAGTGGAATTCCAGTTCAGATGGTTTATTCACATATTACCGACTCAGCCATAGTACGATCTCAGATTCAAAATGAGTCTTTCAGGTTCAACACAGTTGCAAATAGAGTTGCATAAACACAATCTCGGACAAACCAAAGCAGTGAGACTGGGTGCCCTCTGAAGAAAATATAGCTAATAAGACTACCAGGGAGTGCACTCCCTGAGAATTAGGGCCTGACTCTGTGGCAAAGAGGGCCAAATCTAGACCATCGCAACAAGCAAAAATTTTAGGAAGATTTACTAGATACTGTGCTTGTAAAGGCAATTCTCTATTCTTTTGATAGTACCGCAGTAATGCAAGTAAGAGATATGAACAGATTTAGTATCTACAAGAAATTACTTTCAGTAACAGCTTGAGTATTGTGCTTAGCCAAAGAAAAATCGTTGAGACTGATCTAGAAAGATCCTTCAGTTAGATATATGCAATCAGTTGGGATGTATTAGATTTGACAGGTTCAAGAATCATTACCAGGTGACAGGGAAACAAGATATTGATGATTAGGACCAAAATTAACTGAGGAGAAAGTGGTTGTAGTAGGGACCAGACTGTCAAAATGGCTAAAAGATAATTGGAACAGAGATGAATTTATTCTTTTAACACCAGGGCATCGTTTCACGAAATAATACATTTAACAACTACATCAAAAAGGTCATACAGGTTTTGAAAGTTGTCGTACCATATTACACTTCAAATTTCGGGCATGAAGGCTTACCTCCGCCAAGGAGGTTATGTTTTTGACGGCGTTGGTTTGTTTGTTAGCAGCGTAGCTCAAAAAGTGCTGGCCGGATTTCATCGAAAATTTGGGGACAAGTCAGAAAGAGATTAACTTAGAACTGATTAAATTTTGGTGACATTCCGAATTACCGTCTGGTTATTATTATTATCATTATTTATTTAATCAGTAAATTTACTATCCAAGTTCGGTACACAAATCTACGGTAAATATGCACCACACTTCACCATCTCCCATTTTATTGTTATTGTTACCTCCGCCAAGGAGGTTATGTTTTTGACGGCGTTGGTTTGTTGGTTTGTTTGTTTGGT